TTTTACTCAAACCTCCCTTAGAGGAACCCTCCCTATAGGGAACACTTTTGTCGTGCAACTGGCCGTTCCCCCAAGAGAAGTTCCCCCAAGAGAGGTTGCACTGTATTAGTTACTTTAAAATTTAATTTAAATAATATTTGCATTTATTTAATATCTCAACTATTTTTGTGTTAAGACCAAATTCTTACCATAGTGTACTTAATTAAAGTAATAATAGTAAAACAAACTTATTTCAACATGATACTTGATTTAATATAACAAAAGCATTAAATATTTTCCATGTGTTTGAAAATTAGATGAAAAAATATAAATTTAATTGACTTTTTAGTCATAATTCATATTTACTAATGAATATTAATTAAAGCTAAGGGAAGAAAGTACTGATAAGATAACATTTTACACAAAAATAGGAATATTTTAATATATGTGACAATAGATGTGATTAGAAAGAGTAAGCATTTACTATATATTTGCTATTAACATTCACTTCCGAGTTATTAATTAACATACAAAGTGTTGATTTAGTGGTTGAAAATGAAAGAATACACTAATTTTCGTATCATTTATTTGAATCTCAATCTAATTTACATGTGTTTAGCGGTGTTTGTGTTTTACAAATGCACTTTCGATGAGATTCTCAAAAAGGATGGCAAGAAATTATACGCTTTGGGCTTAATTACGACAATACACGCCCTGATCGCCGGTTACGTCGGATGTTCGGCCATTTGGTTCCGTTCCAAGACATGGACACAGATTCAGATCCTGACAAACATCGCTGTCATACCGTTTTTGGTGTTGGCCTATGTCTTCAAGAAGATTACTTACCACACCATTGAAGACCAACAAGAGTTGTGCGAATACTTAATGATTGGTTTGTTTGCTTTCGGCATTTCTCTTATATTCATTGGCTATAAATATGTGGAAGTGTTTCGCAAAGAGTTGGCTAATAAGTTGGATCCAAAGGCGACAAATGCTCTATTATGGCCTCGGAATGAACCGAATGGCAAACCAATGGGTGGTCTATATTTGACGGCAAGTCTTCCTTCAATCTATGAAAGCGACTGGAATTTGGCTCCTTTTGGACGACTCAATACAATTGAAGCCATTGGAAGCACCCGTTCAATGGCCTCCAGTTGTCCGGCCATTAATCTGATCGTTACTCCCAATCAATTAGACATAATTCAGGCCAAAGACAATGTTAGAGAAACCAAAGTCTAAGTTTATTTATTTCGTTTTTAGTTTTACATTAATTATACACTTCTATTCTGTGATTATTTCTTTGTGATTAATTTATTTTTGTCACTTCTCTTCAATGACTTGTAATTTAAAAATTATCAAATTGTTTAAAGAAATGACAATTCAATAAAATGTGATTTAAAATGATTTTATACAAAACAAAATAACTGATAATGAAAATTGTCATTTAGTTATTGAATTATTTATAAACAATTCTCAAAACTTATGATTGTAATAAAATATAAAGATAAATAACTCGTAAAAAGGGTAAAAATAGTTTTAAGACTAACATTTTACCAATTTATATGAAAATCACCAAGGGCCATGAGGCAATGTAAAACTATAGAAATTACATATGTATGACAAGAGGTGCTATTTAACAACTCTATCATAATTCACAGTGTTTTGTATATGACATCATTGATAACGCATGAAATGTACTAAAATATTGAAATTCAGTCAATTTGATGAAACCTAATTAGATATAATTAAATTTGACAATAAATATAACACACAGATACAGTAAATATAATTTATTAATTGGTTTTATTATTAATATTTAGTATAAATTAATTACTATTAATTATAAATGAATAAAAGAATATTACAATTCATTGAATATTCATAAGCAAATTATATTTTGATTATAAAATAGTAGTTATAGCAAATTGTGTTAACTTAAAAATATCAACTTTTTAAAACAATGTTTTTCTACTTTTTATAAATTTCCTGTAAAATTGTAACTTAAATTAAGCCATTATATACAACTAATGGGTTGATTGTGCGCTAATTTCTAGTTTTATATACAGTATTACAAGTATTATTAGAAAGTGAACAACAAAAATGTTTAGGAACTCATTTGTTGTTCATTTAAAAATAATACAGTTATTGTACTTATTATACTGTATATATAGGGAATGTTAAACATTGAAACTAATTTGTTTTGTGGTTAAAAACCTGACATTTATTTGCATAATATATAATGTCAATCATTGGTGTTATATTTACTCATATCACATGAATATTAAATCATAAAATAACTTGTATTAAAAATGTTAAAAGTATTCAAAGCATTGAAAGTGCTTCAAATCATAGTATATTTTTATTACAATAAAATTCAACCCTTTATATAAATGCCATTAAATAAATATTTTATGTATAATTTATAAATGAGAAACAATTTGAATGGAAATATAAAGTGAAACTCAATGGCTTGGAAATAATTATATCTATAATAAAAGTTGGATTTTCATTACCTTTAACTGTAAGTGTGTGTGATTTCCATAACTAATTGAATGATTTGCCAGAATATTGTTTTTCAATGTCTTAAAGTAAAGGAAGAAATCCAATGATTCAATACAAAAATCAATTTTCTCTATGAATGACAAGTAGTTGTTATTAAATTAATCATAAAGATCTGCAATAAGGATCTCAACTAAACTTCTAGTTCTCAGTTATGAAGAAAATTATAGTAAAATTGTTATCACTGTTTATACATTTAAAAATTGATTAAAACATATCAAATGAGTGAGTGTTTGGTTAAAATGTAAATTTGCAATATATTTGGCACATGAGCTATATTTTTCACCCTCTAATCTAATCTAATAATTTGTTTAAAACCATCTTTTGTCAGACATTTCCCTT